GTCCTGACCTTGCACCATCTGATTACTTTTTGTTTCGATCTTTACAAAACTCCTTGAATGGTAAAAATTTCAATAATGATGATGATGTCAAATCGTACCTGATTCAGTTTTTTGCTAATAAAAACCAGAAGTTTTATGAACGTGGGATTATGATGCTGCCTGAAAGATGGCAAAAGGTCATTGATCAAAATGGGCAATACATTACAGAATAAAGTTATTTAGTTCCATGAAAAAATTGTCTTTGATTTTCTAAAAAATATCCGCAATTACTTAGTTGCCAACCCAATAGTTGATGCGCGATGGCAGACATACAAATACCTTGAACTCTCGCTGAAGCGATTGCCCATCATAAAATGCGACAGAATATTTGTGGCGGCAAATGCGACTACTGGCTTCAATGTTCTCACACCTCCGCCCTTCAGGTTCTCCAGAATCGCGTCTAGTTCGGTCGCAATCATGTCCGACATCAAGCGTTTGCCATAACCGAAGTCTTTCAGAGTATGGATCATCCAGTTACGCAATTCTTTCCACGCGGGCCCATCATTCATCGTGATGCCTTGCAAACGAAAATTAAATTTCAGCCAGCAGATATCGTAATTGGTGAACGGTTTCTTACTGTCGTGCCGTGAAGATGGGGAAGGTGGGATTCCCTCGAGAATACGTCTCAAACAGATACGNAAGAATTAAACTACTCGAAAAGACGATTAGCACAGTTTTGTAGAGCAGAAATATATACACTTTGACAAACAGCAAAAGATCGTTGTAAAATGAAAGAAAATATAAAAACGCTACGAACTTATTCCCCAACCTAATAGATAGATAGCGCGATGAAGCTTTTAAAAAGGTTGTTAAAAAAAAATTTGTTTGCTAGATACAACGATATTTGATCCTAACGCCACTTGGACTGCCCCATAGCACAACGAAAGACGTAATTCTCGACAACTATCGCATTCCTAAGGTTTGTGTTGCTCGAAGTCGAATGTAATCGATGAGTAAATTGAACAGTATTGTTCCAATATCGAGTACCGATTTATTCGCTATATAATGCTGTTTCAGGACACGATTATTCTTTTGGATTTAAGTAGCGCGAGCTATGACCCAGCTTACTGGGATCAACCGAAGGAATTTCGGCCGCAACGATTTCTAGACGAAAGTGGCCGATTTGTCCAGAACAATGCGAGCATACCTTTCAGCTTAGGTAAACGTTTCAATAAATTAACCACTCGTAAATGGAACAAATCGTTGCTCCAATTACAAGTAATTATATCCATGGTTCTAATTAAAATTCTGCCGTCGTTTCGAGGTCCATTGTTCAAATAAAACATTTCGCGTCGTTTCAAGTCTATGAAATCAAAGATCAATCTATTAATTATGATTACGAATCTTTTATTCCCGATTTCAATTTACACTCTTCTACTTTAAAAACATTTTTGGATCGTCTCCTTTTTTTGTCTGACAGCACGAATACGCCACATCTGAGAAATCAGCCGGTTATAATTCAAACGTAACGTTCCGATAAATAAATTGTATATGCCATTCGGTTGTCAACGTTCACGCATTTGGTCGTGAAAATCATTCTGCGGTGAAATGTTTTCACGAGCGCGCCGGCCGTCTAATTCATTCTTCGTAAATAATTTCGTACGATAAAATCGAATTGTCGTGGTGAATTTGAATAGAAATTTCTGGTGGAGTGACGCCAGGCGAATGAAATTCCGGAAATTTCCACGCGAACACGTCCGCCGAAATGTTTAAAATGCAGGATCTTGGTGACCGCCCGTCCTTGTTTCAGGCAAAAGGCGGTGCCCGGGAGAAATGCTTGCCCGCAGCACCATATTCCTATTCTTCGCCTACGTTATACATTACTTCGACATCGAAATTTCTCCGGAGCATGGTGATCCAGACCCGAATGGTTACGATGGTTTCGCTATATCGCCGAAACCGTATTATCTGAAGCTCGCGAAGAGATCGAACGTCCCGAATTCGGATAGCACGTAAACGGAAATTATTCGGTAGTATGCGGCCGTGAGTATTGCAAATCACAGGGCCGCTAATCTTCGCGTAAATTTTCCATTTTCATAGACTGCCCAATCATTGCCGGAATAGACGAAAAATTTTGATTTGTCCGCTGGAAGACTCTTCGAGATAAAAATTAGAATAAAAATTATAATTATAGATCTGAAGTCTTTCACACAATTACTATTCTAAATACAAGAATGTTTTTAAAAGAACTTTGAAATGTATTTGGCTCATGCAAGCTGACTGCTTTCGACCATTTAATGGTACAGTAAATTCTCCCAAAATTTCCTTCAGCTTGTAAACAGAAATGAGAAGAGGAAATACGATTATTTCAGCCTTACACCTCGTATCAAATCATCTCAAATTGTCCATCTTTGCTTACAAGCTGAAGGAAAATTGAGGAGAATTTACTGTAGCTGGTTCTAGATGCATTCTTTAATAACCGAACCCATTAATTGCCACGATCCCCATTTGGGATTCTGGAATATAATCTTTTCTATGTAATTCTCTTAATATTTCTCTTCACATTCTCAACGCTAGCTTATAGAAAAGTAAATCTGTATAAACAGTCGCAGTTCGAAATAATAATTTACGTCTTACGAATAAAATTCGAGCAAGCCAGATTTTAATCCTTTGCACTCGCGTGGCGACACTGAGGCGCCACTAAAATTTGTTATGTCACGTTTTAAGGTAATTTTTACATTAACAAAGTTTAGATTTTTAAAAATGCTGAAAGTGTAACTGTTGCGCGAGTTACAAAACTCAGCTTCGTATGCATGAAATACGTTTTGCCATATAAAATGAAAATGCTATTTTACGTTTACAGATAAAATAGCTTCGAGCGCGAAGGGTTAACTTGGCCGTAGAACAGTAATTTAATTTTGATTTTATCAAAGTAATTTTGTTCGCGCGGCACACAGAATCGAATGCAACAAGGGCATCGAAATACAAATTACTCCATCTTTGTTCAGCGTCAATATTTTCTGATTGTATAACACGCATTTTCAACATACTTTGTACAGTGGCATGTTGTCTGTTTTCCAGCTTCAAGGAATTATTTACAAATCGAAGCTCGGAACCGATGTAAAAGGACGGAACCGCCACGTGGCGCGCCGACTAAACGTACATACATACATTTGGACTTCCGCGAAACGAGATGATTTCGACGAACACGTAAAACGACTTTCACGCGGCAGAAACAACAAACAATATCGGAGCGAAAAATTTGTTGAAGTTAAACAAGCAGGCGTCTATCCGCCGCCGGATCTACTTCGATCCGGGAAGTTAGGCTACACGGGGGCGGAGAAACGTCGGTGTTACGAGAAACAGGAACATCAATTAAGTGCACGAACTTGCACCAACGCGCCGAGATGCCGCGGAAAATATTTTGTGCCTGCAAAAGCTCTTTGAAGTTCCAAGCTAATGACAAATAATTTGATTCGCCTGCGTTCCTCTTGAAAACCGTCGGGTTGACGACAAATTAATTTACATGTTTCTTCGCGTCGATTCGATAAACGTTCGATATATATTGTAATATTATTACAATATTATAATATTATAATATACTATAATATTATTACAATATTAACCCTTTGCACTCGAAGCCATTTTAACTGTAAATCTAAAATGATTTTTCTGACCTACGCTGTCTCTATTTTATAGGACAGAGCGCATTTTACGCGTGCGAAATCGAGTCTTGCTACTTATGCAACAGTTTATATTTTTAACAATTGTTCAAATCTAAATTTTCTCGATGTAAGAATTATTTGGAATGCGATATATACATTTTTTAGCGGTGCCTCGAGGTCACCGGTCGAGCGCAAAGGGCTAATTTTTTTATCCCCATATTGCGCCAAAAGTAACTCGAGAACAGGATGGCTAAAATATTTTTAAATAAAGTTCGAAACACAGATATTGAAAACGATATTGTATTTTAATCGTGAAATAATGTTGTATTATATTACGTTCAAATGTTGAACGAAATAATTTGAAAATGAAATAATTTGATTTATCTAGATTCCGTTGAAAACTGTATCAGGTTGATGCGAAACTAAATATTCAATGAACCAATCATTTTTGTGCCCATGTTCTACCAAGAATAACTCGAAAACAGAATAAGCGAAATATATTTTTAAATATATTTAGATATACAGAATGTCCCAAAATTATTGTACAAGCGGAAAATGAGGTATTCCTGTGGTCATTTGAAGTAACTTTTACCTTAGCGAAAATGCAATCCGCGGCTTCGTTTACGAATTATTAGCGAAAAAGGGTGACCAATGAGAGGCGAGATTAGCTGGCGCGAGGCGGCCGAGCCGATCAGCGGAACTGGGCTTCGACCGCTCGTTGGCTCGGCCGCTTCGCGCCAGCCGTGCTGGCCCCTCATTGGTCACTGTTTTTCGCTAATAACTCGTAAACGAAGCCATGGATTGCATTTGTGCTAAGGAGAAAGTTATTTCAAATAACCTCAGGAACAATTTCTCGCTTGTACAATAATTTTTGAACGCCTTATGGAAAAAGTTTCTTGGAAGGTAAATATGCTATATTTTATCAGACAAGCATTATCGAGGCACCAATAGCGCGTCGTAAGGCTTCGGCGCGATCGAAAAGCCGGGTATAATTTCTACGGATTTTGGTTCCTTGCCAGGGACAGGAAGTAAAGTAAACTTCTGCATCACGCCGACGAAGATGACGAACATCGCAGTCTTGGCCAGAATCGCGCCTGGACATTTTCTTCTTCCTACAAGCAATAACAATAACATTTAGACTGCAACAATTTGTTGATAATGTTTCATCGGTTCCTCGGGCATATTCGACGAGCCTCGTATTATCACAAGTAGAAATTCGATATCCGGAAGTTACTACGTTCCTCGTAACATTCGATTACGCATTTCAATCGCGACGTAGAATCAGTTTAACGACGTTCTCCTCTCGCGTGACGTTTCCGACTTTCATAAAGATATCCGGAAACGAACGAGAACGAGCTGTCGTTTCTGCCGAGGCAGTTATAGTTACAGTGACACTTTAATGAGCCGACATTCACGCGCGCTAAAGATTCTGACGCGCGTCGACGCCGACCGCTCTAGGTTCGATAAACTGGTCTCTATTTTTCTGTTCGGAATTTTTGGTCATTCTTTATACGAAATATCTGAAATAATTAAATTAATAATAAATTAATAATAATTAATTATCTCGAAATATCGTAGACAACTTGGATCCACGCTACAACGGTTCTTAGCTATAGAGTCCAAGAAAAAAGTGAAATTAAAGGGATTTTTGAAACCTCCTCATCGACGACGATAGCCAATAAAAAGATGCGCGTCACACGTTTTAACAAAAAATCATCGCTAACGGAAATTCTGTATATATTTTTTAAAGTCTGAAACATTGTATCGTTGCTAAAAGATTTAACATTATTCCTGACGTAATAAAATACAGCTATATTGGAAAAATTAGTTAAATTATCAACGTTTTTTCAACTTTTACGCAAATGTGGCACCGGTCGGAAAAATATTGAAAAATAAGGACCATGCTATTGTGTTTAAAAAAAAACGTAAGCGTCCAGCTTGTAGAGAGTTTCATACCCATCCCGAAAATTATCGAATTTACATCGGGTTCGTAGATCCCGTTCTTGATGTGCCTTTCTGGATTAAATTTGTCTGGCTCGGGATGCAATTCCGGATCCATGTTCACGGAGTAATTATTAATTACGACAACGGTGTCCTTCGGTATTCTGTAACTTCCGAGCTTCGTGTCGCAGAGAACTCGCCGCGGAGCGATCAGTGGGAACAACGGCCACATACGCATCGTCTCGCTAATTATCGCCTCCGCATACGGCAACCTGCAACAATAAAGAATTTCGGCATCCGTACGCTGTGCCTTTTTTCAGCCCTATGCAGTCCGATGCGACAGTAAATGCACCGACGAATGCAAGCAACACCGAGGAAGACTTCGATATCGAATAGAAACTAAGCTGCATTTACGACAGATTTTGTGTTAACCCTTTGCACTCGAGCGGTGACTCCGAGGCACCACTAAAAAAAAAAATTGTTACATCACGTTCCAATATAATTTTTATATTATCAAAGTTTAGATATAAAAAATTGTTAAAGGTCTAACTGTTGTATGAGTCGCAAGACTAAATTTCATATGCATAAAATGCACTTTGTCGTGTAAAATGGAAATACCATAAGTCGAAGAAATTAATTTAGATTTACAGTTAAAATGGCTTCGAGTGCAAAGGATTAACAACACTTTCGAAACTTATTAGATCAGCGTAATGGAAGATCCTGATATTAAAAGCGGTTAATCACTTTAATGAAACCTAACGTCGACGAGATCGGCCCATTAAGAACGCTAACGCGAGTGCGATCATAATTTCGCACTTAATTACTTCAATCTGTCCGCTGTGTCAGGAAGTCTATCCGGTGGAATCGCCGAGTCGATTTCTTTTTGTAGCTTCCGCTGCACGTCCTGATGTATTATCATAGTAAGGAACAGGAACTCGAGCGTCGTCCCGATGGTCATAAATCCGGCGATGAACAAATCCACCAGAATCACCAATAACTGTTCTTCTAGAAATGTAAAAAACGTTCTATATAAAACGAATTGCCGGCGATGGGCCACCTTTCGCATCTACGACGAAGAAATAGTTCGAGCGACGTATCTGTGAATGCTCCATGTACCTGTGTAAACTGTGTCGGCGCCTTGGTTGTTCATGATCTCTGAGATGAACTTATCGATTATGTCCGTCACCCTTCCAGGAATGTAGTTTTTCTTGTGATCGATGATGGATTCCTGTGAGAGAATGTCGCAAGATAACCGATTCAATTATATGCATTCGAAACATAATTTTGGCAGACACCTATTTACTCCAAGTGACTCTTCGATTGTGAAAAATGGTGAGTAATGTAATATCGAAGAGAATAAGTAGCTGCTAAGAAAAAAGCTTCGATCTACCTCGTAGATTCACCCGCAAAACATTGCCATAGTTTCAGGAAATGTTTCAGCTTGTTAAAAGATATATCGAACTAATTGTTTAACACTAAAGCTGTCATGCTTTGTTGTTGGAATTGTTGTTGCAATTATAGAGACACTTTCGTGCAAAATAATTGATCCAATTTGTTAAGTCGAGCGTGTGTATTATAATAAAATTATTTGTAATTAATTAAAAATTATTCTTTTACTTTATATTCTAATAAAAATTGCGAAA